TCCCAGAACGTCTGCGGCGTGTACAGCTGGTGGTGCCCCGCAATGTTGACAAGCCCGAGGTCGTATGTCGATGCGAGCTCGGTGGCCAGCGCCAGGAGCCCGTCGGCGGGCGTTTTCGCGGATGCCAGCAGCGCGGCCCGCCGGTTCATGCACGCGCGTAAGTCGGGGAAGACCTTGGCGCGCCACATGTTGATCGCCGCCGCGTCCGAGGCACTGGAGTACGGCCGCAAGTTGCTCGGAAACTGAAGGTTCACGAGCTCTTCGGGGGTGAGGCCTTTCAAACACAGCAGCGCTTCGGTGACTTGGTGCAGCCCCACGTCCTGCGTCGTCGGCGGAACATAGTCGAAAATGACTTCGTTGCCCCAGAGCGGAAACCCCGTCGCCGCAAACGGAGCGACATCGACGTTGAAGTGGTCGACTTCGCGGCTGCCGTTGAGACTGAGACGCTTGGCGACGCCGTCTACGTCCATCTGGAAGGTGCGGTTCGTGTCGAGAAGCGATGTGACCCAGCGCAACTCGGAGCGGGGGGCCACCATAAAGTCAAGAAACACGTTGATGTAGCGCGTCTTTTCCATCGGCGAAGCCAGAGGAATCCCCGACGACGTGTACAGAGACGTGAGGAACCGGCCGTTCACGACCGTGTTCCAATCGAGCTCCAGCACGAGCGTGTCAGACGTGGACGCGAATCCATACCGGGAGAGCGCCCACGCTTTGATCGGCGCCGCGAGGTTCCACATACAGCTGAGGAAGAAGCCCACGGCAAGGATCGCCTTGTTTTTCTGGAGTTGCAGCAGCACCTGCGTGTTCAAGCGTGCGTGGACCTCGTTGTTGCCCGGCAGTACTTTCTCCGTGCCCATTGGAATTCGCTGTGGTACGCAACCGCTGCACGGCTTCGCGCCGTTTCGTATCCTGATTAAGGTCATCTCTTGGTATAGCCCTCTGCATAGTAAGAGCCACTCGATCGAGTAAAAATAGTAGTCCATTGTACAGGGTCAGGGATATACATAGAACCCATGACGACGACGCCAATGCACCAGCAGTTAAGTTGAAATGCAGATGTCGACGTCGTTTGAACGCTACTCAAGTGGCAAACAGGACAACTTGTGCATTCCCTTTGAAAGGATGCGTGCACCGGGTTTATATTCAGCTGCACAGAACGTCGCCCTATCTCTCTCTAAATTCGTCCACATCCCGCTGAGCTGAATGTACTCATTCAAGTGTAGCGCTTCAAATGAATTTCATTTGCCTCTCTCGAGTCGTCCATTCATGTATCGGTGTAGCAAAATACGCAGACATCCCCAGTCTTTGACAGAGGCGCTTTTTGTACCTTTGTCAACGCGGCCGCGAGATGATAGCTAGACGCACGCTTCCGAGAGATTGCAAATGGATGTGTACTTGCATGGCACCGCGGCGAGCTTTCTGCCTACTGGACAGGTGGAGATCACCGGATCGAGATCTTAACTGCTTCGACCTTATGGCCGCCAACGTTGTCCACCGCATGGATATAACAGGTTGCTGTGGCGACGTTGGAGCTTACTTCTACTCAATAATTTGCAAGCGTCTTTTTGATTGTGCTCTGATCGTTTTGACGCCAACGTGTCCAGCACCGATCATCGTCGCTCTGGCGTAGTATACTAGTAAGTCGTCTATATGCAAGCTTACCTGGTACTCTCGCAGGCTTGGGCCGAGGCGCTCGTCCTCGAACGGCCAACTGGTTTAGCATCTCGAGTGCCACCCGAGACAGCGACCCCCCAGCGCAACCGATCGGCCCCGTCGCACACGCTGTCGCGTACAACGTCTACAACTCGCCCTTTCTCGCACTGTCATGGTGCCTGGAGCGTCCATGTCCATGCTCGTACGCTGGTTTTGTGGCCGAGTCTGCCTCCTTTGCATCGGCTCTAAACGCGGCGGCAACGCGAGCACATGATCGGCGTTGTTGTCTTAATGCGACTGTGATCGGCGGCTCTGCTATACCTTGCCATCGCTCTCGATGGGCTCGCCGATGGCTCATGGTACACGGTACATACTGCGATGCCTCCAGTCGCCACGAGCATGTCTATGGAAACGAGGTGACATAGACGTTGCTGTGCGGAAAAAAACGTGCGCCGGTGGGCAAAAAAGCGCCACCGACGTCAGTTTGTGTTTTTTTCGTGGTTGACAAGAGAAGAAGAGGATGCCCAACCGCGCCCGCCGGTCGCTGCCCGACGAACGAAAGCGCCATGTCGGTATCATCGCCCGCCTCCTCCATGAGAGTGCGGCCAAGTCGAGTGTGCCGCCGCACCAAGTGGGCAAAACGCTCTTGCGACTCGCGGTCAAGATGGAAAACCAGCTCTACGCAGCGACGCACGGCCGCGCCCTCACAGACGAAGCGATTCGAAAGCACCTCGTCTTCCTCGCGACCCGCGCGTGCAGCAAGCCGACGCGCTGACCGCGCTTGTATCTATGGACTGTTTTTCGTATTATTTAATGTTTTGCTAAGAAGCGACGACACTTTCACATCGACCCTGTACGTCTTGCGCAAAGCTCTAACGTCACGCCGCTGGAAGTGGAGATACACAATTACCCCTGGCTGGAAGCGAGCGATGGATGAGGACCGACCCCAAACCGGCCGGCGAGACCAGTCTTGCAAACAGGCGGCGACAAGTACGCTGTCAAGAAGCATCAAAGGCTTGATGGTGGGTCCACGATCCTACCTACTACACTGTTGTATATTACTAGTACAAGTATGCCCAGGGGCAAGAGCAACGGGCAGGTGCGTTCATTTTTGTAAAATAAAACAGGTCCCGTGCGGGGTGAGCTGGTAGGAACTTTTGAATGCGAAACGTTGTTTACCGGTATTTGCGACGACGGCACGTTGGCCTAGACAAAAGTCAACGCGCGACCTTCGCTGCGCTGCGGTGCGCAGACTTTTCCGGGCCAACGCGCCGTCGTCGCTTGCTGCAGTCCTCGCGCGCTTTCACATTCGCACCTAATCGGAAAGTTGCGTGAATTTCAGTCAAGTGCGCCGTCGTACTTTATCGAAATTGTTATACTTTATTCAAGTATAACGTCCGGCGATGTGACAGCACTTAACAGGAACTCCTAAATCGCACTTAACAGGACGCATTTGGCGCGATATGATTGGCTGAGACCAATAAAACTGCGTTTCATTGGTCAAAATGGCTTGATATATAGCCAATGGGTTGGCCAGAATGTACGAATTAATCCCCTGGGATGCTGGTACACCACGTAAACGTTCCTACCAGGATAACCCAATTTTTACCCTCACCCTACCCTACCCCCACCTGAACTTGAAATCGGCACCGAGCCGCTGGGAAAGCGTCTTTGCGCCTCTCTCCCAGTGCACCTCGTCGATGCTAGCTCCCCTTGTATCATAGCAAATCAAGCTAAGACCGTCTCTCGAGAAGAATCCGCGTTCAATCGTGTGTTGCAGTTCGCTTTGTGACAACCCGCTAGCGTGCACGTAACATCACGTTCATCCATTTCAGCGCGCCTCTCGAGCCTGCCATAGTGTCCAGACTGCCGGGCTGATAGTCGATGGATGTTAGGAAGAGGATCTTGCAGTCACCTTTTTTGAAACTGCACCGCGTTGTTTGATAAGGGGAAGCTGCAGGGCGACGGGGTGATGTGTCTTTGTTGTTGTTGCAAAAGCACGTAGTTGGGTCCCAAGTCGCGCGTCATTCATTGCAGGGCCGTGTGCGTTTTTTCACTTTGAACCGCCGGATCCTGCCATGGACCAGCGTTTACCCTATTTGGAGCGGTTGTTTAACCTGCAAAGCTTTGCCGAACGGTCCGGCGCGTTTCAAGTTGCCGCGGCTTTGTGCAGACCAAGACTCTCTTGACTCTAGTATGGTGTAGAATGGACTTATGCGTTTTTTGGGCAACTCCGAATCCGCGCCTAGTACCCCGATGTTGCTGTGAGGGCGTTTGCATAAACCCGCGCTCCCCAACGGCCCCCGACCTCCCTACTGCAAGTTATAACATGCCTTGTTTTTGTGCCGGCCCGCCCAATGCCTTGGCTATGGCCAGCTAAACGGCAAGAACGCGTGGAATAGAACGTGCGACCCTGCGTGTTATAACGCGGGTTTGCAAAAACACGCTGCGGCCCGGAAATACGATCCGAACTCGATCACAATACATTTTTCCTCTTTGTACGCAACCATTCACTATGCCTCTGGCCATGACCACACCGCGCGCCCGCTTGAGCGACGACCGCAAGCGCCACGTCTACATGATCGCACAACTTTTGAACGACAGCGCGTCCAAGGCCCCGTTGCCCCCCCATGCGCGCTCCATGAAGGTCGTGCGCCTCGCGCTCAAGATGGAGCAAAAGCTCTTTGACGCGACGCACGGCCGCAAGCTCAGCGATACGTCGATTCAAAAGTACCTCGTCGTCCTCGCAGCACGCGCTTGCAAGAGCTGGGTGCGGACCGTGCCAATCTAAGACGACCACGTCTTTTGTTCTAGTATTTATTTTTCGATTTCAACTTCTTTTCTTGCCATCTCACGGGAATGTACTCATCGCAACGACGTT